CAGGCAACTACAGATCAAAAACATATTATCCAGCAAACAACGTCTTTAAAAATTGTTGAGAAGTTCTGTTGGTCGAATTGCAGGTAGTACTTTGCTATAGCACGAATGGAACGCATAATACGCCAACAGCCATGCATCCAATGGAAGTGATCCCGAAAGATGGCAAGCGTGCTTGTGTGTTCATAAACCACAGAGCGGTATGCAGGCCCAGTAAATTATGTAAAATCCGGGTCTCACGGAGTTGGTATCAGGCCTCGACAACCCCGCTCAGCAGTTTGACTGGCTTCCCAATTTTGCTCTCGGTGCAGAGGTAGCTTTGACGGTGGAGTGTAACTTTCCCAGCAATTTTTAGTAACGTTCTAGGGGCAGCTCTTGTTTAAGGTGTGCAATAAGCTCAGGAACTACAACCACCCACGGACCTTGGTGCGGAGATCTTGAAACACATCCTTGAAACATCGAGGCCGCCGCACCAAGAACCTTCCGACTGCCTCCAACCGTTTCCTCCAAATAATATCAGTTTCTTTCTCATTTCATCTCTTTTCAATCAAACTCATTGGTACTCATCATGAAGTCGTTTCTGCTGCTCGCCTCTTGGGCATCCTGCGCAGTCGCGCAGAAACACCACCTCAAAAACCAAGTTCCAATCCCTGATCTCTGTGCGGCAAGCCCGCTGTTCCCCGACTACTCACTAGCATGTGGCAAGGGCTCGATCTTGTCGGCGCAAGCACCTCCCCTCGTCGGAATCGCCAACAACCGGACGACTAAGCAGCCCAAGAAAGACATCTGGCGTTCGGACGAAGGGTGGCATGGCCCTCACTCTTGCGCGGGTGCTTACTGCGCGTATTCGCGACCGTCCTTTGCGAATGGCCGCGGAATCGTACTCGTGAGTACCGCGTACAATGCCGAAGAAGCGTCGCATATATCGGCCTTCACGAAGCCAGCGCGAGATGAGGAGCAGGGTGACAGTAACCTTTTTCGCATCGTTGAGATGCCGGGGAAAGGACTGGGGGTCATCGCGAATCAGCACATCAAGAGAGGACAACGCATCATGGCTCATCCTCCAGCCGTCGTCATCCATCGGCGGTTCATTGATGATGTTGACCTGGAGAACCAGTACAGACTTCTTGATGTTGCCATCAGCCACCTACCCGAAGACACCCGCAAGATCTTCATGGAGCAGATGGGGCAATCTGGTGGCCACAAGGTTCATGATATTGTTCATACCAACTCGTTTGAACTGAGGCTTGGCATCAGGGATGGTCATCACTTTGGAAACTACCCCGAAGTTTCTCGATACAATCATGACTGCAGACCAAAGTGAGTTTTACCCGCTGGTTGCTGTACTCCATGATGTCTAACCAAGTCAGCGTCGCCTTCTACATCGACTCGGATCTCCGGCACTACACCCATGCCGTTAGAGACATCAAACCCGGCGAAGAGCTCACAATCTCCTACGTGGACTCGCTCAGCTCACGACAGGTTCGCCAAGACCGCGCGAAGCGTAACTGGGGATTCGGCTGCACCTGCAACCACTGCAGCCTCCCACCGCCTTTGATCCGCGATTCAGACAATCGTCTGTACCGGATGTGGCAGATTGAGCAGGACCTGAGCAATTGGAACTTTCCCAACTTCGAGGAGGACATGATCGAGTTGCTCATCACCCTCTACGAGCAAGAACGTCTGGACGAGTCCCACGGCTACGAAGCTTACAGGCTCGCTGGATTGAACTACAACTCAATTAAGAACAAAGAGAAGGCTGCGGAGTATGCTAAGAAGGCCGTTGAGCAGTTGCTGCTGGAGAAAGGACCAGAGGCGAAGGAGCTTACCGATATGAGAGCGCTGGCACACAGGCCCGACCAACACTGGAGTTGGGGAAAGAGAAAATAGGCGAGTAAAAATCTTGTATTAGCGATTGATAGTTAAATATGAAGTTGCAGCCAATGAGTTGGTCTGATTTCCAATTTCTTGTTAAGAACCAACAACCAACAACCAACCAAGCGCCAAAGCCCAGACTACATGCGTATGCACGTCATCAGAATTCAGAAGGAAGAAAGATGGAAATGGATTGGTTACACGTTTGCCAAACCCCTTTGCCGCTCTGACGCTAGGACCCACATGTTACTATGTGCGAATATGCCGGCGTAGTTAGACTCCCTCCAAGGTGTGTCCGGCTTTGCAAGACACCAGTCGAAATTCCGGATCAACTACGGAGGGATTAGCTAGCAGCACAATTGTTTAGTCGAGAAGACTTCTCTCTTACCTCGAAGACAGTCTTGCCAATCTCCATCATCGCAATTGGCCTACCGAGACACTGGTACTTGCCGTATCCAAACACAAGCTCATGGACCTTGTTCATAGTCGCAAGTTTGCTTTCGTTCGTCTCCAGCAACCAACGCTCCGGTCGAAACTCTTCAGCATCCTCCCCGAAGATGTCCTTGCTGAGATGCAGAGGCCAGACCGCATAGTTCACGTTCGTTCCACCGGGAAGAAATACGGCTCTTCCGTCAATAATGACCGTGTCGCCCTCATCAGGCACCCTCTTGGGCACTGAATCAGTGACAGGTGGATGGACGCGCATGCCTTCTTTGATGACAGCCTGCAGATATTCTAGCTTCCTAGCGCTGGCATCCGAGATGATACCTGACGCCTCATGCACTTGCTTGTCCGCATGAAATACATTGATTTCAGCTTGAAGCTTGGCATAGACGCGAGGATGGGTAAGGAGGTATAACATCACCACTCTCAGCGACGCTGCAGTTGTGTCCGAGCCGGCAATCATCTGCAGCGTCGCCTCGGAAACAATGTCGTCCTCATCCATTCCATGCCGGATGAACGAAGCGATCATGTCGGACTTCTTTTCCGTATCGCGGGAGAGGCGTTCTTTGATGATTGCTCTGCCGTTGGCAGTCATTCTGCCATATCCCGAGGAGTCGGTCTCCTTGATACCAATGTAGCGCGCGACAAAGGGGTTCTGCAAGACTTTATACAGGCCCAAGGCGATAATGGCAGTAACTGCTGTCAAGCCTTCCTCAGCTGACCTGGCAATGTCGTAGGCATCAGAATCTGAGCTCAAGTCACCAAAGGGAGTGCCGAAGCTAATGTGGCTGATTACGTCGAGCGTCAGATATTGAATCTTTTGAGAAAGGTCCAAAGGCCTTGCTGAAGCCTCTGTTGAGAGGTACTTTGACCGGATGAGGTCGAGTAGTTCAGAGACGTGGGTGTCGACCGAATCTTCTAGTGCAAGATTCTCCTTTCCAGAGTACTGATAATATTGTTAATAGAGTAAAGTGATGCTTGCTTTTTCCTGCTTACCCCAGCACCTAGTTTTGCCCTCAGCTGCTTATGTTTCTCTTCATCCATTTCGCTAAAGACATGATCCTTGTCGGGACGTACGCGACAAGCTCGATAGAACCACTCAGTCCGGGTGTACGGTGAGCGGACAGCGCTCATGTGCAGCAAAAGTTCCGGCGACGATGTGACCAGGTCATTGGGTCCGACGCGCACGATAGACCCTTGAAAGTGTTAGCCTTGCGTCACAGGACATATGGCTGTGAGTCCGACGTACCGTACTTCTTGCACACCTCATGATACTTCAAATGCGACTTGAAGCTCAGAATAGCAAAAACATGCCAGATTTCAGACCACCCCGAGATAAAAGGGCCGTTGAAAGCCTTGAGTCGGTTGTATGCTTGAATCTTCTTGCCAACGTACACAGCCAGCAAAACACCCAAGACCGCCCACCGAAGGTCGTACAAGTGAGAAATGACAGTCATACTGCAGAATGAGACACATGCAAGCATGCGAAAGACAGAAGCACAACTGCGTCCTGGGACCATGGACTCGGGACACCTCTTCATACTTATCAAGCCCTCGTCTATACATGCCCGTTCACATCCTTTTCCTGGCTTCCATGAGGGGCTCGCCCCCGGATGGCGTTCTCATCACACGCAACGTGGCTTTCCCGCTTGCCCAGTCGGGATCCATCGCGCTACCATCGCCCACTCTAGCCGACGCCCTAACGCCCGTTGATACCGCTCAGCACCAGCCTGTCAAGAAATGCCACAAATTGTGACGTGACGATACCGACTGGTCGATGGCTAATATGCTGGTATTGCCGAATGCAGCCAAGCGGACGACGGGGGGTCAGCAGCAAGGCAAGCCCCAGCCAAGCCGGCCAGCACACTGCGACTCCGACAGACGGAATGTCGCATTCCCAATTTTCGAGGTGCCTTAGTCGGGTCGGTACGACGTGCATTGCATTGCAGCGCGCCCAATAGCGCCGCTGGGTTCCAATTAGTGCGAATGGGAACCGCACCGCAACCGCGAATATCCATTGTCGTTGAGGATAGGCTTACGGGGAGCTGGGAGGAGGGGGGGAGGGCTAATGCACCGAATCGGGGTCATCACAGGTATTGCCGCTTCACCGGGAATGGAGCCAAGGTGGGGGGAGGAGGAGGGGATTTTCGTGTCCAAGTCATGAAATCCTGCTGCAGGCATTTGAGGAGGGGGTTTGAGACTCGTCGTAGCTAGTCTTGGCAAGCTGTCGTGATGCTCTCTTCTCGTAGCCTCGTTCACAGTGAAACTGGTCTAGATGACCCTCTCCGAATGCGAGGTGTTGTACTGGATTTTTGCAATGAGAGGCGGAGCCCGTTTGGGTATGGGTCTCTCAATCCTTCACCGTAGATCATCAGAAATTCTGCCCGAATGCCAGAGCGAAGGCTGTTTCACTCATTCTCCTACCGCCAACTCACCGGATGCACGCACAGTCAGGGGTCAAACTTTAGCTTTGCATAAGCTTAAGACATCACCGACTAGTTGGAGCCAGGTTGTGCAGCAAATCACTGATTCCAGAAAGTCCTTCTGACGTGTGATGCATTAGGTTAATTCTATTTTTCAAATTGTAATCTTGTAATCATCTGTCATAACATCCTGTACCCTGTCATACACGACTGTGGTGCCTTGAAACGCCAACGACTCCAAATTTCCATCAAGTGAATTATTTACTCCTGGGCGGAGTTGAGAATATTGGCACCAGCCTTCTTCTTCCTGCGGCGATCCCTGCGGCCAGCGGGGGGAGTGACTTGAGGAGGAGGGCTGTTGGGGGCCGGGACAACGGCGACGGGCACAGCCGGGACTGGGGCCGGAGCCGGAGCGGCGGCTGGGGGTGCCGGTGCCGGAGCAGCGGCGGGAGGAGGAGAAGCAGGAGCGCCAGCAGCAGGCTCAGGCTGAGTAGGGTTCGCAGCCTCGGGCCAGCCAGCAGCAGGTTGCTCGGCGGATGGCTGGGCATTAGGATCGGCGGGCACAGCAGCAGCAGGTGGTGCAGCAGGTGCAGCAGCTGGGGGAGCAGCAGCAGGCGGGGCAGGTGCTGCGGCAGGAGGAGCAGGAGCAGCAGGCGCCGGAGCAGCAGCCGGGGGTGCGCCAGCAGCTGGGGCCGCGGGAACAACAATGCCTGGCGCAGGGACAGGAGCGGGAGCCGGGGCAGCAGCTGGGATGACAGTGACAGGAACTGCCTGGACAGCGGGCTGGGAGTAGGCGGCGATACCCTGATCGAGGACGTTCTCAAGCTGAGCTCTGTCCTCCTCGGCGATTCTCTGTCCAACTCTGGGGACCTTCTCTTCAAGCGCGGCAGTGAGAGCCATGGTGGAAATCTTCTGCCTTTGGAGAGAATCCAAGGCAACACCGCTCACGCCCAGGTTGTCAAGAACAGGCTTCCTTGAGACGAGATCAGAGACCGTGGTGGTCGTCTGATCGAGGAGACCATCGGTGATGCGGCGAAGCCTGGCAGCTCTGATGGCACCAAGGCTTCCGGATTGCTGGATCTGAAGAGTGGCCTGGTTGGTAGTGGCCTCAGCCTGCTGAGAGAAGACGAGGAGGTTATTGGCAGTGACCGGACCGCCATCAAGAGCAAGGACGGCGGCGTCAACCTGGGCAAGTGACTGGGAGACCGGAGCAAGAGCAGCCTCGATGTCGTCGAGGTTGTCGCGAGCCTTGATAGAGTTGACCGGCGCAGAGGCGATGATCGCCGACTGGCTGAGGAGGGCAATGACCAGAGGAAGGGTAAACATTGTGAAGAAGGTTGGATGGCAGACGAAGGGTCTTGAGAGTTTGTGGAGATATAGTGTAGCTTTGGAGGCAACCAAGCTTCTTGACTTTGTTTTCCTTGTCTGATGCTCCAAAAGAAAAGGTTCTGTCGTCGGGAGATCGAATGGGTTTATAACCTTCGTTCGGGCTGTCTGTGATGATGAGGAGCTTGGATCATGATTAGGACCATGATAGAGTAGATGCAATGTCGCTGGCTCCTGTCAGACTCGGCAGACGCAGACCGTGAGACACTTCCGTGAACTGAATCTGGTGAGGACCCATGGTCTACAGCTGGTGATCGATGTAGACTGCAGTCGAGTCTGGCCTGGACCTTCGCGACTCTGCGTCCCCGACGCTGTTGTCGACTGTCGGGTGGGCTGTCAGAGTCCGTGTTTGACGTCCGTGTCTCTCGGCCGGGAGGTACTCGAAGGTGTTTACACCAACTCTTGACAGCGGAACAGTACAAAAGTACTCAACGGCTGTCCGCCGGCTTCCGAAAAGGGAACAGACTTCTGTATCCGGGGGAAGATCTTGATCTGTGCGAGCAGCTCCCCGCAGGAAGGGTAGGCAAGCTGCCGATGCATTAGGGATGCGGCCCTAGCAAACCTCGTGCGGTGAGGGCCGCAGATAGGCATGAAACCAGATCCTGTCTCTTCCTAAAGGCAGACAACAGGGTCGGCAGCAGGCGACAGGTCGGGGAGTTTCCCAAGAGGCCATCCCAGGGCAAGCTGTCATACGCCAAATCATGGGATGAACGTCGAGCTTAGTCCAATGAGGGACTAGACTGTGCGTCCGGGGACGCATGAGGGAAGCACGAGCGCGTTTCGACGGTGTAAAGTGATTGTGAGGGGATCTTGGGTGATAAGGTCTCAGTGTATGCAGTCAAGAGCTCGGGCACAGCTGCGCCTCCTAAGGCAACAGCAAGCAGCGACAGTAGTCGATATGCTCGTCAACCCTATTTCGCGGACAGCTGCAGTGCGTCGACGCCAGTCCGATATTTTGGTGCTCGCGGCACGTCCCCGCAGACGGCCATCGACGAAGCGCTATTGGATATCAGCCTCATGGAAACAGGTTGTGATAAGGTGTCCGGCTGCGCAGCCCGAGAGGTTCATAGCTTGTTGCCATCGCCAAGGACATAGCTCCCCGACCCTTGTGATCATAGCTTTGTCAGGTTGACAGCATGTAAGTCAGCCAGGGCCATCTCAGGAACATCGGATCGTTGTAGTTGCCTTTACAGACAAGACATGGAAGATCTGGCCGGCCTCATCCACGATGAACTCTGGTTAAGGGACATGGCGATAGTTCTTCCCATGTTGATGATGGATGCAACAAGCCTTTTGACGTTGCCGAACCATAACCTTGAGGTTATTTGCAGCATCCATCTATAAGCGTGATGTTTCCCTTTCGCCTCCTGCATGAATTACAAATGGCTGGATCTGCAGAAACGCTGCCAAAATGGCATTCGGTATGCACCTGCATGAAAGACGCAAGAGGACCAGCGTGCAGAGCCCACTGCATAGCGCCATCGATACTGAGCTTCCTAAATGGGTACCGAGAAGCCCACCATCGACATCTCACGCGGGCACCTGGAGGACGGTGATGAGTCAGACCGAACGGCTTCCGTCGCCCGTGGAATCCATGGATCGGGGACCCACCGGTGTCACCAGGCCGGCGTCCCCGCTTCTCTAGGCAGCGTACTACCATGACCAAACAAGTCAGTACTTGAAGGCTCCGTATCCGCGACTGGAGTCGAAAGCGAGATTTCGACCCGAACACGACTTGGGACAAAGCAGACGTTGGAGAAGTTCGCCGTTGCAAGCATGCCAATCGACGTCCAGCCCATCGTTGCAGCCGATCTCCGGCGCTGCGCCGAAATCGAGCACGACGCGTTCGCAGAAAGCCCATCCTATCCTGTGCTGTTTCCCGGGCCATTGCCAGACGATCCCCTGGCGCTCCGAGTCGAGGACCTGGAGAAGGAGCTTCGGGAGGATCCGACCGTGCGCTTCCTCAAGGCTGTGGACACAGAGCTTCAAGGCGACGAGGCGATTGTGGCATGGGCCAAGTTCAATAGTTACCCGGAGGGACTGCCGGTGCCCAAGCCACGTGTACCACCACCAGGTTCCAACGCTGAGGCGTGCACAGCATTGTTTGTTGGCATAGACAAGATGCGGGAGCGTTTGATGACAGGCAAGCCGTGTGTCTGTAAGTGGCCACTACTCCACCCGTCAGACAGGCTGTCAGACTGGCACAACAACGACTGACGACTAATGCGGGACGAAGACTTGCATATCCTGGTGACAGATCCAAAGCACCAGAGACGGGGTGCTGGGCTGCAGTTGATGACCCCGCTGATGCAGGAAGCAGTCAGGCTGGGCGTACCCGCGTACCTGGAGTCCTCTGTGCCTGGGCATCGCCTTTACCAAAAGGCAGGGTTCCGTGATATCGACGAGCACCGGGTGGACTTTAGCAAGTTTGGGCAAGAAACGCCTCATCTAAACTGGGCGATGATCTGGGGGCTGCCGAACCGGAGGTGCCCATGAGGTCTCAAGAAGGCCATGATCTCGTCGGGGAGCGTCAATTCGCCTGGGGCGTGTCTCGTGGGGCGTGTCTCGTAGGGCGCGTCGTATCACGGCGGTCTCCCAAATGGCCGAAGAGGGGTTTATCGCCGATGACCTCATGGACCGGCGATAGATGTGAGCTGCTTTGAACGGTCGAACGTTGGATTTGAACGGGAGGAAACACATCCGTAGTTGATCTCAAGGAAGAGAAAGAGCTGTCAGTCCAATCGCTCCTCCCCGGTGTGCAGGGACCTTCGTACTGTGCGCCATGTCATGCATTACACACTGCTTCTTTACATACTTTTTACCAGAGTCGGACAGTGCGACAGATTCTGCAGATAAGCAGTGTCCAAGTGTCCGGCCAAGTCGGGAGCCCGGCGCGTCCAGTGGCCAATGCGTAAGGCGCGCTGCTGGATGTGCTCTGTGACCCTTGCCCGGCAGCTCTCCGCAGTGAGGTGGGCGGCGGCGGGTGCGGCAGTGGCCTGCACTTCAGTGATGGCGCTGCTGGAGGCAGGTCGTGGCCCCACCTTTGTCACTGAAATGATGATGAAATCGACCTCAGCGGGCTGCAGCAAGTGGCCCGGACGTTCTTGCTAAACTCCGACGCAGCAGCGCCGACCTCACCAAATCGCCCATCTCGACATTCTCCATGGGCCGCAACTTTGGGATAGAGCTCCCACTTCACAAAGCTCACAGACCGCCGCAATGTCTTACGTAGCACCCATTCATCGGCCCAGCAGCATACGCCATGCATTGAGACTGCGGCTGACAGAAGACGAGGAAAGCTTGGTGGTATCGTAAGTCTGCCCTCTGCCTCTGCGTTTGCCTTTGCCCCTCCATCTGCGGGACAACCTCGAGATAGCTATCGCGACAGTCGTGTTTTTGCCCTCCACATGCTAACATCCTCCAAGGAGATCCTACAGGCTGGAAGTATGGCGCGTCACGCCCACCGACATGTTCATGCTCGGCTCCGTCTCCATTTACGGGACAGTCCTCCTCCTTCAACGCCTCACTCCGAAAGACTCCAAGACCGACTTGTTGTTCGTCGGCACCGACCGATTCCAATACTTCACGGCAAGATGGGACTCTGATCTTCAGAGACTCGTCACTGAGCAGGTCATTGAGGACAGTGGAGAACCGCACATGCGCGAGGCCCAGAGTCAGGACAAGTGCTTGGTCGACCCCTCTGGCAGGTTCATGGCCATGCACCTATGGGAGGGTGTCATGAACGTCATGCGCCTAGGAGCTCGGGCTCCCCATGCTTCCCGTCTAGACCCTCTGTGGGAGCAAGTCCGTTTGTCGGAGCTCTCCATGAAGGCCAGCACCTTCGTGCCCACTGAGACCGGCCACCCCACCATTGCTTTCTTGTACCAGAGTAAGATCGACAAGGAGGATGCGAGGTTGGCAATCTACCGCCTCATGAGTGATGACAGAAATACCAAGACTTCAAACTTCGATGCCGAAAAGGATAGAGAGCTCGACATGGAAATCCTGGACCCTTACGCGAGGATACTCATTCCCGTCAGTGTCGAGGAGGACCAGGTCAAGCGCTACCACAAGAGGGACACATCAGCGGCAAAGGCGCAGCTTGGCGGTCTGATTGTTGTCGGAGAGACTCTTCTTGTCTATGTCGACACTCTCACGAAAACAAAGGTGTCTGCTGGCATAGACAACCCGACTATTTTCGTTGCCTACGCCGAGTACGATGTCAGGAACTATTTCCTTTCCGACGACTATGGCAACTTACAACTTCTCACCATTGACACCGACGGCGTCGTGGTCACGGGGCTGAGAGTCACACATCTTGGTCTGACATCTCGGGCATCTTGCCTGGTCTACATGGGGGACGGCATGCTCTTCTTGGGGTCCCACTACGGCGACTCGCAATTACTCAAAGTCGACGTCACCGCCGGCTCCGAAACAACACAAATTGTCCAAACAATACCCAATATTGCACCTATCCTTGACTTCGCCATAATGGACCTGGGTAATGCTGGCGATAGCCAAGTTGGCAATGCCTTTTCGTCAGGCCAAGCCCGTATCGTTGCGGGTTGTGGTGTACATCAGAACGGCAGTTTGCGGAGCATCAGGAGCAGTGTCGGTCTTGAGGATATTGGCGTTCTAGAGGATTTGAGTGACGTACGTGGACTCTTCTCTCTTCGGTCTAACGGCTCGGACAAAGATGATACCCTGGTTGTCTCTTTCATCACCGACACAAGAGTCTTCAGGTTCGATGCAGAGGAGGGCATTGAGGAGGTCTTTCAATTCCAAGGTCTTGAACTAGACAAACCTACACTAATCGCGTCAACCCTGCCGAACGGTCAATTGCTTCAAGTCACAGCTAACAGCGCTGCGCTACTTGATCCTGAAGGGGGCATCACGCTAAGCACTTGGTCAGCGCCAGAAGGCAAAGTCATTGTCAATGCATCATCTAATGCCAAATGGGTTCTGCTCTCCATCGATGGAATCACACTGGTCTCGTTGAGCCTCTTGGAGAATCTTGCAGCTCGGGAGCAAGTGCTGGGAAGTGGAGTAGGCGGAGAAGGCGACCAGATCTCGTGTATTCATGCCGCAACGGACTTGGATAATATCGGTGTCGTGGGTTTTTGGGCCACAGGCTCCATATCCATCATTGACCTGCAGACGCTTAATGCTTTGCACGGTGAAACCATCAAGCAGACCGACGACAGCGTTTCAGTACCCCGGAACATTGCTCTAGTACAGCTGCATCCGCCACATCTGTTGGGCCCTACTCTCTTCGTCTCGTTGGAAGACGGGCAGGTGGTGTCCTTCGATGTTTCGAAAGACAACTACTCGCTTTCCGGCAGAAAAAGTGTCATTCTTGGCAGCAAACAAGCAGGTCTTCATATCCTTCCGCGGCCTGACAGCGATGGTATTAGCAACGTCTTCGCTACGACAGAGCACTCAAGCCTCATCTACAGCTCAGAGGGGCGCATAATTTACTCAGCGGCAACGGCGGAGGACGTCACCTACATCGCGCCGTTCGACTCGGAGGCGTTTCCTGA